AAGCTTTGCAGCTACATGAAAACCTACGACGGGCCTGGATTTCGGCTTTCATCCAACTCCAAACAGGCAAATCTGTCGGAATGGTAGGTTTATTCCAGGCCAATCCTGAAGAGGGTTTTTACTGGATGAAAGAGGAAGAAGTGGCTAGCAAAATTGTATGCATTCTTTTTCTTCTCTCTGTTTATCTATCAGGTTTCAAAGCTGGGTTTTTATAAACGTCGTTGGCGGGGTGATTTGTGGGTAAACGTTGAAGGCTATCTAGATCTGGAGTAACCCTGGCTTGTGTAATTTTCTCCCGGAGGTAACTATTGCGCATTCATAGAATTAAATTACGTGTATCACTGTTTCAGCGTTTCAATTTCCATTTTCTGTTCATTCCTTTCTTCCAAGATGAATACGTCCGTAAATTACATGTACAGTACTATTGTGTTGGCTTGTTGTCTTCTCTCAAATCTTTGGCTTTGGCTTCTCTTTGCGTTCCTTCACTGAGTCACAAAGTCAACGTGGATATTTTGGTGCTAATTTGAGTTTGGAGTTGATAGAGATAATTTCCTGAGCTTCCTACGTTCCTTCTATGACCTGCGAGCCCTGTAATGGCCATGTGCTGAAACAAAGTGGATGGTGGCGTTGCTATAGTCATCTCTATCGATACCGTAGTATTACGCCTTGACAAATAGTCATTCATGAAAAATCCGCCCGAACACTTTGACTCGAAGCCGAATCTCTGCTCTGCATGTTTCGAGTTTTTTGGCACATACAGAACAGAAAGGGTGACCGCACTCAAAGACAGTATCCATGTTTCTTTCAAAGCAGACCCCACAAACTGCGTCCACATCGATCCCTGACTTTTTCGCTTTTGCCCGCTTTAATTCTGCGCCAAAGAAGGAATGGGATGGATGGGTGATTGATAGTTCTGACCAGGTTTGAATTGCAATATCATCATCGTCTAGTGCATCGAGGATCTTGCGAATATTTTCCAGAAACCTCGAATCATTCGGATGAGCCGAGGATAGATCTTTCCAAGTAGCAATAGCGGATCGGGCTGATTCACTACTCTGAAGTGCGTATAAATCATCAAGAAAATCCGACCGAGTTGGATGCGCAAATAAAAGTTCCTTGTGGAAACCAATAATGGCATCTTGATTATGGATGTTTTTAATCGCATGCTGTTGTTGATCTCTGAAGTCCTTGCAACTTGGCTCTTCTTTCAGCAACCGGATCCAGATCTGAGCGACGAGGGGCCAATCTGTGTGAGCTGCCAAAGCATCGGATATTTGTTTACGCCGCGGGTTATGATTATTTGCTATGAGTTCTTTCCATATCTTGATAGAGAATTCATGGTCGTCCTGTGTTGCAAGGGACTTGCCGAGCAACTCGAGAAAAGCGCTGTGACCAAAGCGATTGAATGCCTTGACACATTGCTTTACACAGGCATTAAAATCTCTGCGTGCCTGATGTATCTTAGCGAAAGCAAATTCGATTTCAATATCAAGAGGTACGTCTGAGTCGTAATATTTTGTAAAATTGTTGATTGCTGTCTCATAGTCTCTAATTTCGGTGTAAGAAGACCCAGATTTTTCCGGATGAAAGCACTCTCCGGACAGCACTGCAATAATTGGGCTAGAATCTCAGATCGCTCCGCAGCGGGCAGCGGTCTAGAGCCTTTTTAAAGCCAGCCTGTATGTCGTTTCGAAGAGGATATTCAATGAACCATTGTGACCACAGGTTTGTGCTTTGCTTATGCTCTCCCTTCCTGGCATGTGCGATGGCAACTTGCTTCTAAAGCTAGAAATAACCTGGATGCTTTGCTAATAGAGTCTTGGCGATTGCTAGGTGAGCCTCCGGGGTCTCTCGTGTAATATTTTCTGAAAATGCCTGTTGTGCGGCCAAGAACCAAGGATTATCCTCAAGTTGAGTAATAATCGTTGGCATATCAGCAAAGCCGCCGTAACCCGTTTTTAGGCAATCCATTGGTGCCGAACAGATAGAACCTGGGTGTGTTGATTCGATCTCTCACTAATTTCAGACATTCAACTAGTTGGACATCGTGGCGAAAGTTCTTAAATAACATTGCCATTAGATCAATCACCTAGTTAGCCTCCCTGCAGAGGCTATATCAGCCTTGCGAGACGCCCAGAACTTTTTCGCATGTGATTTATTCCTTCTGACCAATCGAACGGAAGAATATTCATCACTGCCGCCTAACTTCCGTCCTGATAAAAATATGGAAGTGACAGCGGACTATAACCACTTTTCCCAATTGAGATATTACTCAGCATGTCATCCCACCATCTAATTAGTCATCTCAGACCTCATAAGCACGTTTTAGTTGGCTCTAATATGCTACCAGGCCTCGTTGACCCCTGAATTAAATATGGCTTCAAATAGCACCCAAAACAACCTTTTATGTAGATATGCAGATTAGGTAGTCATTCCAATACTAGTCTGTACAGCGTTCACATTCGTTGTTAGGGGAATATCACTAATCACGAACTAGCAGAGTTATTTTGGGAGGTTCCTGTTTCGGCTGACAAATGCAATAGTTATCTACAGCCTAGGACGTCCTCGCATCGAAAAATTATCAATTGATCTGATCATATATCATGCTAACACATGTTTCCGCAGCCCGATGCATTAGAACTAGAAATTATAGATTATTATGACACCATTGGCCCTTGGGTAGAGCTGTATGAAATATCAGAATTAGACAACGGCGACCATCATTGGCACGGTGCCGTTTCAGTTGGAATATCACGGACGCTCCCGTCAGTTCCACAGTTACATATACAATGCAATCTTGCCCCATATTATCCAGACGAAGTTCTTCAACAAACGGATTCTCCAGTCAAAAAGGAGTCTTTCGATCATAGCCCTCTACGACCAGTTCCAAGAGTACGTCTGCGAGAGAAAATTGTCATATGGGGAGACTACAGTATCTACACGTTTGATATTTCAATTCCGATACACAACTCTCTACGCACGAAATGTAAATACTTAATCAAGCACCCAATGTGTATACTTGATGCATTTAAGTACTCTTTCAATATACCCCCATGGTCGGAGCAATTGTGGAAGGCCCTTAACATAGCCGATGATGGATTTCCTCTTTCTGACCAGCATGTTTACTACGTTCAGAAGGTGCCAGTTGACTTCACCCCGCAGCTCTTGTGTCATACTCTGCCGCTTGCAGCAATCCCATTCATTCGCCGGCAAGATTGCTGGGTGACGAAATATACTCAGGAGAGCAAGGTTAAATCTTCACGCGGCAATATGGGTGGCATGGTAGCGAAATCCAAGATCAAATCTTTATGTGGCAATATCGGTAGTGCGGTATTGAGATTCCGAATAGCGCTGAAGAGTGTCAAAGAGCAACTAGGGTTCTCAGTCACCTTCAAAAGCCCTATTCTTGTGGAACGCGTACAGCGACAAAGCAAAACTCGCATGGGTTGATTGTTCTAAAGGCTCACAGCCAAGCCAAGCCACCAGCTACATGTATTAAAAAAACATCATGTCCCCTTACTATAGTCATGTACGTAGTAGAATTAGTGGGTCTTCCGAGATACGTATTAAGTTATCATCATCCTTGAGAATATAACGATCCTAAGTTATAGCCAATAGAATCCTGCACATCAATCATTTTACTACTACGTATGCATAATGTAAATTCTTGATGTAAAATTATGTATGGTAATGAGATAATTGTAAATATTGGAATCTAAACGAATTTTACGGGGTATAATATATAGCGCACCTTGTTAGTTTAGTAGCCCAGTGGAATTCCGACTGTCTCTAATTACGTAGTACTCCATCTGGCCCATTCCTAAATTAGCTGAAGGGATGTACCCAACCCAAATCAGTCAAAGAACATACTACGACTACGTACAGTCCTGGAAGATAGGCAAGCGTATCTCCGTATATTTAGTAGGTCGCGCCAGTAATAGGTGCCTGCTGTTTGCTGAGTCGAGACTATGAGCAATCAAGCAAGTAAAACCTAGAACATGTTCCGGCGTACATTCTCTTATCAAGCTATTTTCCCATGCAATCTGTCATATGAATGAATGCTCTTCTAAGGGATGTACGTAATTTCTATAAATAGCACTGCTTCTCTACGTAACGGACATGAGTATATTAGTGAATAGCTAGGCAGCTCATTGACGCACAGGGATGGCAACGTCTCCAGACATGGCTATCCTATTTAGTGGCACCGGCTTCGGTACTTATTATTATGATATTATTAACCCGCAGAAATGTTTTACGGATTTTTCTGGCGCTAACAAAGGCTTTGTAGAATGCAGTAAACCGGCATGGACACTTGAGGAAGTTATGTAATTCAAACTACTTAGTAGCCATGAATCATACGGAACTTGCTTCCGACATGAGAAAATATTGCGGGAAACAAGTGGTAGTTTCAGTCAATGGCCTAGAGTTGGATCTACCTCTATTTATTGGAGACGGATGTGTCCGTTGCGCTGGAGGAAGCTCTGATGTTATAGTTTGGGATCCACTGGCAGCCCCTGGGCTTGATTTCAGTTACTCAGTGTTGGACGCATTATCCGATGCTGCATGTACTTCAGGGCACGTCGAAATCAGTTGGAAGATACTTGACGAAGTTTTGTACAATCCTGACTATGGCGGATCCGGTAGATCGCAGGGTCCGACTACGTAGGGTAATTCACAGCGGCAGTCATATAGAATATTGAAATCCTATTGGCCGGCTGCGGCCTGTCATGTGATCTCGTTTAGATATTAGTAGATCCGAGCCCCGTAGGATTCAGCCCCTCTTATAATATCCACTTGGCCCTCAAATACTCCTGTTCTCTGCTTCGTCTTCAACATCATCAACTCTCTCTCTTCTTCATTGGCTATCTCCACCCCTTGATCTGTTTCTTCCATCTCATCGCGAGTTCACAGCATACAGACCGTTAGTTTCTTATCCTGACCCTGCATTTGGACTGGTTACATTAGTTCAGAGGCTAACGTAGCTCTTGGCTGCACAGATCATGGTTAAAGGCAGGTATGACTTGTGAGTAACCTCTGCTAAGGCTACTCGCTAGGCAAGCTGGGAATGACCCGTGGCGACCTTTTCAAGGTCAACGCCGGTATCGTCCGGACGTGGTTAAGGGCATTGCAGAGCTCAGTCCCAAGGCTTTCGTGCTCATCGTCTCCAGCCCCGTCAACCCTACCGTCCCATCTCCGCCGAGGTCCTCAAGGCTGCTGGTGTATTCGACCCCAAGCGTTTCTTCGGTGTTACCACTTTGGATGTTGTTCGTGCCGAGACCTTCTCCAGGAGTACAGTGGCCAGAAGGACCCCTTACAGACCACTATCCCTGTTGTTGGTGTGCACTCCGGTGACACCATTGTGCCACTCTTCAGCCAAGCCAAGCCAGGCCTGCTTTCGAGCTCCCTGCCGACAAATACGATGCTCTCGTGAACAGTGCGTTACCTGATTGAACCGCCTTCAAGACAGATATTCTAACTTTCTACAGGAGTCCAATTTAGTGGTGGTGAGGTTGTCAAGGCTAAGGACGGTGCTGCCTCAGCTACCTTTTCTATGGCCTATGCTCGCTTCAGGTACGTAGGACGATTACTCTTTAGAATTAAAAGACTTAACTTTTGATTAGATTCGCCGAGAGCGTGATCAAGGCACTGAACCAGCGATATGGGGTTAGCCCATAACACACAAGATAACAAGACTGCTTGCCTACAGACGCTGGAGGGCCATGGCGATTCAGTCAATCTCATCTTCTCCCATGATTCCACACGGCTCGCCT